AATTATATTCGATAAATTCTGGAACTCTCCGAATCTTTTTTTTTTTTTTTTGGTTAAAAGTCATCCCAAGAAAGAAATACAAAGATGGTGGGGCTGTTGGTGGCTGGTTTAGGGACAAAGATGGTGGGGTGGGGAGGTTGAAGAAGACAACCCTTTTTTAATTTCTTTTCTTAATTTTTCGATTTTTTGATTTTTTTTTGTTCATTTATTTAATATGATAATTATTAAGTTACCATTTCACCCATTCCAATTTGGTCAAAATAGGTCAAAATTTACTTTTCTTGGTCAACTAACGGTCAAATGGACGGTTTCCATCCATTTGGACTTCGGGTGCGGATTTTTGAAAGGTTTGGTACTTTAGGTGGCATAAATGAAAAGTTTGGGCAAAGTCTGCTAATAAACGAAAAGTTTGGTACCTCGACTGCAATTTTCCCATATCTATACAAAATCCCCAAAGTAAAATTACAAAAAAAAGGCTTCTTAAATAATGTTTCAACCATCTCTTACAAACTTCTTTGTGTACTCTAAGTGCATGCATGGCAAAAGCTAAAATTTTTCAAACTGATTGTAAGCCGTGAATTCTAAGGTTTGGATAATAAGTAAACTAGTTATGGGTCCTGCTAAACATGTAAATAAAAAAGTATATTTAATTAACATGTTATTGCATTTTAAAAATTTATTACAAAAGTCTATTCCTATTTACTTAGAATGGATATTGCAAATCAATTAAATATATGTGTGGATTATTCTCAATTACCAAACCTTAGAATAAGTCAAACAGTTGAACTACAAATTCCTTTTCATGTTTCTTACTCAGTTATCTCCATTTATAAGCTTAACATCACAATCCAACATGAATGATAAATCGTTTGACGGAACACACTCAACGCTTTATTCATATCCAATGTCAAGATTCTGCGGTTACACCATAATTATGTTAGATATTGCCTGAAAGAAAGGCTAAACGAGGATTGAATAATCAAATTTTTTAATGGCAGCTAACAGATTGATAAATAATGAGTGACGTGTGCAAAGTGATAGCAAAAGAATCATGTAAAATTTTGGTACATTTAGGTATTGGATAATAAACTTAGCTGCACATGATGGGCTATACTTAATTTGGAACTGCTTTTGTTACATAATTGAGAGTTTGGTTTTCATGGAAAATGGGATGACTTGGATTATGGTGGAAGTGGAAGTTAAGTTGTTCATTTATTTGATTTTCTCCCTCATTATCAAGGTAACCTCGTCACCATTTATATATAAGAGCACGAACTTAAATTTTACAAGTAAATCAGTGACTTTCTAAATGAATAATTTTGCAAGGGTCAAAATTGAAGAATAGTTTATGATCTCAAGGCATATACCTTAGATAGGGCTATAAAACAATTAGGGTCCGTCTGATTGCAAGAATGTAATTTGGATGGAAAGAAAACGAATTTCAGAGAATTGAATTGCCTAAAATTTATTTTATTGGGAATTGTTAATTAATGTATTCGATTGGTATAATTTTTCACTTGAAAAATGTTGAAATTTTGAATTTTTCGGTGTTCGATTGGCTTTGTTTTCCATGAAATTTGTCAATTAAAGGGATAAATTTTTTTTTTACAATTATGCATAGAATTTGTTCCCATTACTGAAAATAAAAAAAAAATTTAAAAAATAAAGCTGGATTTCCCAATTCCCACCATTTCATAGTTTTGAGGAAAAGGGGTCACATGGGGGGGGGGGGGGGGGGAAAACCAATTTCCTAAAAAATCTAAGAAATCAAAG